ATCGGCAGATGTTCCCGTTGAATGGTCTCAATGGGCATGTAATGAAACATTTTTAATGTATGACGAATAAAATCGTCGTCTTGCTTACTTTTGGACCGTTTGGGTCCCCCTATCTTATTTCTAGAAACAGTTTTATCATTAATAACACGCCACCGAGTGACCTTACTAATATTGAAAATACTAGCTAACGACTCATGCGGGATTCCCCCCGCCGCTAATTTTCGAATACGCTGGAAGTCAACTTCGGGCAAGTATTGTTTAGACATGGGTATCGTTTGGCGTGATCCAGAAAAGTGACGGCATGTCGCGCGAACTCAATATATATTCGTTTACAATACGCATTTTCGGTCTGGTAAAACAATCACACTGATTAACTTTTTTATTTCGGTATTTTGAAACATAAAACTTCACGGATTTTTAAAAAAGAATTTTTAGATGAAGAATCGCACCTTATTTCCTGAACACAATAATTTATAATTTATCTGCATTTCCCTGATTTTCTTGATATTTAAATTTAATTTTTTCTTTTTGTACGAATGCTTATTGAAAAATTTCTTCCTTTTATAAATCTTCTTAAATAGATTAATAAGGTAAAACAAGGAATTCCGATCCGAAATCTTTAATAGCGTAGGAAACTGCTTGAATATCAGGAATCCTCCGATTTCCCCTAAATTCGGCCCGTTTTCTATTAAATATACAGTTCCGTATCAAACTTTCCTTCAGCAAACGGCGTTTTCGTCCTTATTTCAACTAAATAAACACAAATAACTACACCAAAAATACGCTACAGTTTCCACTCTAAGAGCTGTTAGTTAAAATGTCATTAATATACCAAGTAAAGTATAAGTCATATAATAACGACGGTGTTTGTTATGTTTACGTAGACTGGCATACGGACACGGTAACCCATCTTTTTCAAATAAAGAAAATTAAAAAGGCAAAATGGACACAGAACCAGTCTTTATCCATTATTAGTTTCGTAGTCCAAGTAGACCGCCGTTTCCTTTAGACTTCCGTATTATACTATTGTCGCTTGCGTTCTAGTACATCCAAATAAACCTTTTTGGCTTGTATACGCGAACACAATTGCGTAAATATCGGAACGCAATTTTATAAACTGCCCGCGGAGCACAAAATTAACTTGCCTGTGTGATAATTGTTGAATGATTCAGTTTTACCACAACGTTCGCATTCGTACTGGCAGCGCCAGTATTGGCCAAGGACAGAGACAGGCGTGTTTTTTGGTCTTGTGCCGCCCTATGGCGCAGTTGCAAAATGGTTCAGCTGATGCGTGACTTCTTCAGAATTTCTCTGGTACTTTCCAGTGTATAGACGTCAGTTTCTTCGATGCTTTGTTTGATTTCCGGGGAAAGCACTGCAAAAACGAAGAGTAAGTCCTTCTGACCAAAGCTTCTTAGACCCTTCCCGACAGTGTTTGCAAATATGAGAATATTTTTTGAGGGATTTACTTCAAGTTCGCGCACTAATTTCATCGGAAATTAAGGGAGCCAGCATGCTTGGGGCAGAATGGCATACATATGAGAAGGCAAGGCGATCGCAGGAACCATGATTTTATTGGCCTGGCGTTTCGAATGCAGACAAGCTTCCATCATCAGAGATGGGTTGCGCACGGCACGTCACAGTATTTAAGGGTTTCCTCTTCGGACTGGCGTGTCACTGACCTCCAGCGCGCTGCATCACAAGGTTTGGCGATTGTTGTCATGGCGGCATCGGCCCCTCCTCATCCTCTGTCGGTTGTGGGGAGGGAGACGGCGTCGGGGCGACCGCTGCCATTGCTCTTGTCTACATTGTCCGTTGTCCGACCTCCACGTATTTCGACTTCCTACCCATACATATTTGCCCGTAACCGTGTGCACAGTGGTTGTCACGCCGGTGTTGACGTCGAGCTGGGGAGGTGCCTGCCACTCTCATTCGTTCTCGCCGAGTGCTCACGTCTGTCTGCGTTCAGACCCAGTAGGTGGTCTCCTGGGTTTATGTTCACCGCCGGTTGCCCCCTGTTTTCGTCTGTTCCCAATGCCTGTCCATACCCGTCCTTGTTCTCGCTTGGTCTAGGTTTGGATGCTGCCGTCCCTGGCCCGACGCCTCGCCCGTAGTCCTGGTTATTGAACTACATTCGCAGGGCTTGGTAGGCAGCGGGCAAATTTACGCAGCAGTTAATCGAGGTGGCTGTGGTATGCCATGCTTTGAGCGTCTCCCTGACCGTTTGATCGCTTTCTTGGCCCAAGAATTCGGCGTCTTTGGACGCAAAAGCACTACCAAGAGCTGCATAATGCTCTACCGCCAGCGAGAGCTGATCCGTTCTTCGTACCGTTCCTGCGTGATCTTCCATGTGGGTCCTCAATCTTTTCCCGGTCTCTCTAACGTAGGTCGCTACGCAGGAGCTGCACGGGATCCGGAAGACGACCTTGACTGTTTTACCTCGTGACAGAGGCGTTTTTGGTCTCATGACCTAACGTCTAATTGTCGCTTCGGGTTTGTGGGCGATGCCGATACCCAGTGGTTGCAAGATACGAGCAACTGCCTCGGAAATGTTCGCAATATATGACAACGCTCGCCAGACTTTCGGTTAATTTGCCGTTGGTCCGGGCAGTCTGCTTTGTTTTATAAAGCTGTGTGGGTAACCGGTGGAGGTGAACAACCGCCATTGATAGTGGAGTTTGGCTACATTGGTGGTCATTTCGCTGATGTAATTGTCAACTCTCCTGTAGAGAGATCGCACAAAACTTTGTTCGTTACATAACAGGTGAGTACTGTGGTTGGACAGGACTTGGCGAGTGTTAGTGGCCTTACGGGGGAACCAGAACGCCAAAGAACGCTATCTGGTTGTTGTTCTCTGTCACCGTGGTGAATGGAATATTGGGAGCTACAGACGTCCGTATCGCGTTGAATTTGGAGACCATTTCGTGTTTGAGAACGACGAAAGTATCGTCCACATATCGCGCCTAAACTTGTATGTCGCAAAAACAAACGCCCCCAACCTTCGAAAAACAGCTTCAGCGATAAAACCGGATAGCGGTGAGTTCATCGGTGTACATTTAATTTGCTCGTACACAGTCCCTCCAAATGTGAAGAAGGTTTGGTGGCAGAATCTGAGCATTTGCACTAGGTGTTCTCGCTAGAGGTACTGTTTGCCTCCGTGTTTTGGCTGTCAAGAAAGTCGCGGAAAGTTCCAACTGCCAAACTTTTTGGCATCGAGGTAAAAAGTGGGTTATATCGAATGATACGATGACTTCGTTTTTGTTAGTTTGTAGCTTTTTAAGTCTTTCCAAGAAATGGATGGATTAGCGGACCGCCGTATCGGAGCCCGAGGTGGGGCAGTTCAGGCGTCGAAACACCCACTTGGCCATTTTAAATGGGGGTGTTCCGCATACACCATTTCAACTAGACATACAATATTTTCAGTGTTTGATTTAACCTGGGTCTGAAATGTCGACTTTATCGTGAAATGCGCTTATTCTAAAAGTGCATTTAATTTGTATGGAAAAATATGCGCCATTTGACGCAAGAATATTCATGTTCCATGCGCAAACTAATACTGTCAGATAAACTGACTGAGTCTTTGGTCAACAATAGGACAGTTTTCTCTTAACCCTGTGTGGCGTTTGCAAACATGGACGCAACTAGACATCCTCTCTGATTGATGAGGTATTTATATGAAAGCAAAATAGTTATACAAGGAATTTTTAATTTTTATTTGTGTGAAGGTATGCATGGGTTTTCATTTTTTGCCAAGAAAAGTATGTGCACGTCCAGGTGATGTGGATGTTAACTGTAATCTAATTATAAAATCTAAACTCTTAGCATTTCACCGCACCGATTCTAGACAACTGAATTATATATGATAATTATCCTAATTGTTGAACTTGGCAATGCAAAAATAAAATTTCCAGTTTCTATCACTTTTAGAAAAATTCTAAGAATTTATCTGACATACTCTTCGTTGTAGTGGTCAACAGAACCTTATCAACTGTATTAAGCGCAGTACGTTTTAGTTAACTGCGGTCTAAAATCGAGCTTCCAAACAGGACTCACTGCGTCAGCATTTACTTGGCCTTATATGATGTGAGAATTCATTCCTAAGACGTGAAGTATTGAAAATAAAAATGCTTTGCTCAGGGGAATAGTAACAACTGTTTAAGAGTAAGCCTTTGCTTCGAAGAAAGCAATAAGCTGTCTGGTTAATTCGAACAGGAGTTCAATTCGGTTCAGTTCTTCATTCAATTAATCATTCTACCTTAAAAGCTTCAATCTGCGCTGATAAATACAAATAGGACTGTCCGCCAGCGAGATTTTCATCAAGGCATCTTATGTAGTTGCCTAATAAACATACGAACACTACATGATACTGCTTTTAATTCATATTACTTCAAATAGCAATCACGGTTTTAGTTTTAAAAGCATTATAAACTGTTAACACAATCTTATTTCTAAAAAGATGTAACGTTTTATAGATAAAGTGATATAGTTATTTTAATCAAACGCACATGACCATGCTGGTCACCTACGTAATTGCTATCAATTACATCCTGGATACTGTCGTATCTAAAAACTTATTTGCTCAGTTTGTTTTTATGCATGTTGCAGACATAACTAGCGTACACATTAAAGTATTAGTGAAAGCAGGCTTTTCCCTGCGAACTAATTGGCCTCCTCGTATACTGCTGTTATTTCTCAATGTACGAAACTTAAAAGTTTACATTTAGTTTACATTTCAACAAATGCTTGGAAATATGACCATAACTATAATAAGATGTTTGCAAATCCGTGCATCTGTTTAGCAAATACATGTGGATATTCTAAACAAGTAAGGTCTCTTCTGCTGCCCATTGGATGGGAGTAAGTCTGCGCGAGGCCGGCCAATGAAAACACGTAGGCAGTGTGTATAAATCTCCAACATTCTGGATCAGAGCAATTTCTCATTTCTTCCCCTGAATTTAAATATGCTGGTCAAACTATGTATATGTTTCGTTTTTGTCGGAATGGTAACTTGCAAGGAAGAAAAGTCGCGGGAATCAACACCAGAGGAGCAAAAGCGCATGCTATACTGGAAACGAAGTCCTATGACAGACCTAGAGGATTACGCTGTTATGGACGGTATTCCACATTACATTATAAATTGACTCTTGGTAACAAAGGTGACGCTGGCGAACCAATCAACGAATATCAGCTGGAAAGAATAATGGAAGAACTGAAAGCCCTGCGCAATGCCAGAGGATCAGCTCGTTATGTACGACCGAGACGAATGCTTTACTGGCGACGTTAATCGTGCAAGAAGTGTCAACTCGCCGCTTAAAGTGCAAGTATCCTTATATAAAGATAACTGCTATTTGAGAGCTGTAAAATATGTTTTAAACAATCGTAGGCTAAGTCATTTAGCAATTTAACTTTTCTACAGTCCGGAGTATGTAAATTTACAGAAACTACTGTGTGACCAATAGTAGAAAAGTATGTAAGTTACTTATTTTTTTATAAAACTGGGAAGTTTTGGTCTACAATTTCATGAGTGGCGCCATAAAAATAGTTGTATTTTTCCAAACGCAAGCAATATTGTAAGCGAACCATAAATGCTTTCATTTCTAGCAGAACCAGTTTCAAAAAGTGAGGGCATGTATTTCTAACGCATGTGTGTCATAGGCGATATTTCGCAAAAGATGCCTTTTTGTTATAACTGCGTTTTTATTTTAATCAACTTGTTAGAAATATGTCAATCTTCGTCCATTTATGCAAGTTGAATCCTGCGTTTTATCTCATTTAGACTTCTGTATCGCCAGACTCATTGTGTTCTTCCCTGAAAGCGAAGATGCTCCCATTTTATAATTTGACTGAAGTCTCTGGAAATAAACCAATTTATTATCAAACATTTCTTTTCTAACAATTTTTGAAAATTGTGTGAGAGTAACTGGCCCGCAAAACAGATACAATGATAAAGGAATAAAGGCTGATGTAGTCGAATGTGCATTTATGATAATGCTTCAAAAACAATTCGCGACGTATGCGGGCGACAAATCAACACAAAATTCAAATATCTGAACTATGCCGCGGATAAAATATCAGATCCAAAAACTATTACATTTATTGCTTTCTGATGAATAAATATCGAGGGGTCTGGATGTGTTTCCAAAACCACCGACGCATCATAAAACAGATTTTACAATTTTGGGTGGAATCATAACAAAATGACCTGGTTTTTTAATGAGCAGTGGATGGCATCACGTAATATTCTAGGAAATTCCGGAAAACAAACAATGCCAAACGTTTTATCTGCAGAGTTTTATTGTTAATGCAGGCGTCTCACACGTTTCGATCGGTATTTACCAAAGTTTGCAAAAACTATTTGTAGCAGTTAGCTGCCAAACAAGAAGCATTTATGAGGCATATTTGAAGAAATTAAAGGATAAACGTTCTTTTAAATCAACAGTCCGCCATTCAAAACTAAATATGAATTTTATCGTAAATTGAGAATAAAATAATCGCATTTTATTGCAAGAATGATTCTAGAAATCTAGCGAAAATTCTTTTCTGTTTGGACAGTACATCGGACTATTAATTTATCAAAGTCTCTATCGAAATATCTGCAAATCAGTAACTAATTCTTCACTTAAACTCAGGAAAATATTTCATTTACAACAGAAAACTTCGGAAATTTCTACGTCGATGGTAAACCCGTCAAGCAAAGATGAATATTCTACTTAAATAAATTGGTTGATTGTATTAAAAATCATCTAGTGCGACAGGTATTACTTCTGTTCTGGTGGATGTCAGCTTATGGGAGGACACTTATAAAATGACCTGATAACAGTGTTAAGTTTTTCTCTGCACTAACTATTTGGTTTTCGCGGTACGTTATGGTTGGAATCTGTTTTGTTGAAATATGTTCCTGTGTTTATAAATTTCTCTGTTGCAAATTGCCAAATATACATCCAACAGTTTGTGCGTGGGTGCAAGGTTCCGGAAAATGTGACAATGTACGAGTAGAACGACAAGTGTGTTCAAGGTTACCCCAAATTTTTAGACGGGAATGAGTGCGAGAAGCAGTTTGACATCATAGATTAAATACAAATTCTCTTGAGAGATTTTCAAACATACCCGCAAATATTAACTTTCCAAAATAAAACATGTGTTTGACGGAAAGCTGCTGCAAATGAACCCCAAACGCTCACAATTGAGTATAATCCCTTGTTATAAATTATTAACAAATCATACTAAGGGCTGGCGTGAACAAGGGTTGTACGTATTAAAACGTTAGAGTTGCTCCTAACATTTGATTTTCGAACCATGCAGTCGAAATGAATTTTAACAACCAGCATTATTTTCCGCGCCGATGAGAGAATGATAGTGTAGGCACTTATTTATTAGTTATGAAATCTTATATGCTCAATGTGGCAAGCTGCTGCGTAGGTAAAAAATGTGTAGTGTTTTATCGATCATATCTCAGGCAGTGAGTAAGACTACGTAGACATTTTGCGACCGATACTTCAAAACATTTCGGCGGTAATTGGAAAGGCACTTATTTAATTCGTCCCATCATTTGACACTTCCTTGTTTAAGCCTGAATATATAACTTTCAAGGACACACAAACCGCACTGTTTAATTAATTCAAATAAGGTAATAGGGGAGATTATTTATTGCTTAATGGTGTGCTGTGAAATGTCGTTAGCATCCAAATTGGCAAATACCATTTTATGCCTAAGCTCTTATTGAACTATTAAGCCATATCATCAAAGACAACTAGCGCGAGGCATATTTACTATTCTCACGCAGATCGAAAATAAAACAAATTCGTATTGTACTCCATACAAAAACGAACTATTTTGGACAGCTCCCTGTAGGTCGAGTCATTTGTTTTAAAAAAGGCTAAAATATTCAAGCGTTATACACCAAGTTACGCGTCACGCAAAATTTGCAATAATTCATTCATAATTTAACAGTTTCATGCTAACGATATTTCTGCGGTATTCTAAAGTCTTCGATGAGATGTGGGTTAACGCAAGGAAGAAGGATTCTGAAATAAAATATGCAACTTCATTTTAGATCACTGTATTTCTTTTGCTTCGAAAATAGCTCCTTCTAGCGATGTTTACTGCCTCCGATATATTTAAAAGGCAAGCTTTTTATTGTGTCCTGTTTAAAGTTGGAACGAAAAAACGCTTATAGTGATTATTGTCCAACAATCGAAAGAAGCATTTTGCGCAAGGACCACTGACGGAAAAATATTATTACAGCTGACGAGGGTAAATGTGTTTATTAATGGAAGGTAGTATCGATGTAAAGAAATGAGAAAGAGAACTTTCATTAATCTGAAGCAAAAGACTGATGCTAAAACTTTGAAACAACAGTTTGGAAAAACTGCTTTTGAAGTTTCAAATTTTCCAACGAAGAAAAGGGTAAATCTGAGGTATCTCTGCTTGAATTAACGCCAGTAGCGTGAGAATACTGACTGCCTTACCACAATCTCAAGGGGGATGTTAATTGCAGACCTTGTAGCGTTGTCAACCGCTACTGCGCACGTTTCAGCGCCGCAGTGTGTACGCCAACAGGCCACATTCCACTTTTTTGTTAAGCTGGGAGATCATATGAATGGTTTTACAATAGCTTCTGGAGAAATTGGTGAAACACACGCCTGAACCTTTAGACATTACCGATTTTGTTACTTTACTGTATCCATTGCCCTGTTAAATTACAATGATGTTAATGCTACTGATTTCTGTTAATAACATTGTGCTATCTTCGAGCACTCGATGACTGCATCAGTTCAGGTTTTCACACCAATTCATGGCGGTCCCTTAGATAGTGTTCCCGTTTTTCAATTTCGAATTCGAATAGGGAACGTTGTGGACCCAGCAATGGCCTTAATCCCTTAAATTGGGTGAAACACTTGTTTACGCTTTAATGTGTACTCGTCCAGGACTATGGTAACTAAGGAAATATTTACACCAGCTCTTACGATTTCATTCAGCTCTTGATTATATAGAAGTCCATTGCTGGTTTTCCCTAATATTGGAGGAAGTTAACCCGGTTTTTCTAGAGCCTTCAGTAGGGTTATTTTATATTTGGGCAAAAAATATTTTTCTGTACTTTTATCGAATTTAAGCCAATAAAATCATTACTCTACTCTACTCTACCCATTTAAATACCAACTAACTGTGTAACTAGCAATTAAGAGTACGTTGCTGGCCTAAATGCATTCATACCGTAAGTCGATTTGCAAGCAAGTGAGGCAAAAGTTTTTGGTTGAAATTCGTCAAATAATACATAACTTCGCAACATTTTAACGATTAAAACTAAAATGCATTTATGCCAGACTATCTAGGTTTTTGATAAAGGTACATCTGCACTTCCTATCAACATAACGTTAAGTAGTATCAAGTGCAAGATCACGCATTATGCATTATTTCGGGTATTTAAAAAATTAAATTATAAAATGTAAATTGGCCACTTACAACATGCATCTCAAACTGGCACCATGGAGATAACTATCAAACATTAGAGTACATAAAAGTGAAATATGGTCGGATATCCGCGAAAAGGTTGTGGAGGCTGAGGGAAGCGTCTGTTGGATACACGAAGTACATCGTCACTTTGGAATATTTTCTACAAAAAGATCCGTCATTTGGCTTGGGAAATTTTCCAGTTTTTCTTCCAGTGGTATTTGTTAAAAGCGCTTTTGCTTAAATTCATTTGCACACAGATTTGGTCCAAAGAACTGACTATTTTTTACAAAAGCGAATACTTCTACACCGGCATTATATTTTCTGAAGATATAGCTAGAAATCAGTTAAAAACAAACAGCTGTTTCGCATCGCCAAACTTAAAAAATAGACTAAAATCGAATATCGGAATAGATGCTAACGAATGAGTTTAGAACTGATATTTTCAATAAGCATTTTTAGTTTTAAACTTCTTTTTTACTTCTAAAAACGCATTTGTTGAAGCAGAAGCAAGCCAAAAGTTTTTTAATAAACCCTTCACTACTACATGCATATTTCATTCATAAGTATTCCAGTCCTCTCATTTGTTCATTTTTCGCCTATCGGGGTTTGTCAACAAATAAAACAATCAATGGAATGCATTAGGATTAAACACAGATATAATGATCAGCACGTATTTTGGTAACCTTGAATTGGATTTCATGGAGGCACCTTTTCCTGCGTCCAAACTTAGACCCTAACTCTTAACTGCGTCCCCCTCAAATTTAAAGAAAGTGCCTCGAGTAATTATCAAAAATTCCTTATTAGTGGTATACCAATCTATGTATACGGGCAACGACACCCATATGGGAATGAACAACAAAGATTTGGATGAGACTGCAAAGGAAGTTTTCAGATTTGCGGTTTTTCCCACATATAAAAAGCCACATAATTTACTACTTTAAATTTCGGCATTTCTGCATAGATGGATCCGATGTGTCGCCTGAGAAAGTAAAAACTCTAGCTTCAAACTAGAACGGGTTTTATTATAAAGCGTCTTGTGATGTAGGTCAATAACAGTAATCGGGTCACCTGGTGTGTCAAAGATGCTTTGCTTCCGGATGGAGTGCAGTGATGCGTGTCACCCCAGGCGATTAACTGAAGGAAGTACGGATTCCAGAGAATATAAGACGGTTTTTTAGTGCGATGGCCCAAAGTGGCGTTAGACGCGGAAAATATAAAGGCAGTGCGTGAATTCCGATTCAGAAGGACATTTGGCGAACATACATGTGTTTTCGTAAATTCTCAAAGGGCCAGTACATTTATATGAAAAAGAGGTATAAAAGTAAACATGTGAGCGATAAGTGAAAACGATTACGGTTTTTCTTTTCATAGAAGCGGTGTGTGTG